AGATCGCGATACCCGACCTTAATAACCGGTCGGGTATTTCAGGTGACCAGCGGGGTATTTAAGCGCCACGGCCGGGTACCCTTCTGATCTCCTGGCGTCCAAAGCAACAATACTCGGTCGGGTATTTCAGGGGCCGACCGGGTATTTTCTCCCTACAGCTCCTTTCGCTCCAACTCTCCACATTTTGGCCCAAAATTCGTTTCCATACCTCCACGTCCACTCCTGGTCCTGAAATATGACATAATCGCACAACCTAGCACGAAATCGGCTTAAAACACTAGAATCGAATCTCAAACGGTTCAAGAATGGTGGTCTAAACATGTGCAAATAATGGTCTATCACCCACCCAAAGAACTCGTTCACCACTGGGATTAAAATGAAAAAGGAGTTTTTTTTGTTTGTTTCATGCACTTTAACGTAGCTCCCAAAAAAATTCGAGCACTTCGACAATCTGATATGTCTGCCACCATGAGACTTTTCGTAGTTGCTAAGGAAGTGTCAGTTCTCCGACTCCTCCGATCGAAGGCACCTATGAAACCAGATAATAAGGATAATATTCACGTAGATGAAGTGGCGTCAGTTGGGATTCCCTTCGACCACCATTCAAAACATCTCCTCCTTCTTGGTGGAAACCTTCTCCAGAGTGACACGTTTGTGTCCAATCCCGACAACCTGCAAAGAAGCCCTCTGAGGAAGAGGGAGAGACCACCGATTCTGATGTCGATGAGTCTATGGAAATGGAACCACCTCCATGCAGTTTTTTTGTAGCACGGAGGGTATTGACTGCGCAACTTAAGGAGGAGAGTGAACAACGAGATTATATCTTCCATACAAGATGTGTAGTTGATGGAAAGTTGCTGTATCTGGTGATCGATGGAGGAAGTTGCACGAACGTTGTGAGTGCGTGTGCGTTAAAGAGGCTAGGGCTTCCTACGTTGAAGCATCCAAAGCCATACACGCTGCAATGGCTCAAAGATCACGGATCCATCAAAGTCACAAAGCATGCACTAATGAAGTTCGAGATTGGAGATTAAAATGATGAGATTTTGTGTGATGTAGTGGCTATGCAAGTTGCGTATGTGCTTTTTGGCAGGTCGTGGTATTTTGATCGACAAGCACATCATGGTGGAGTGACAAATAAGTACAAGTTGCAACATGGAGGACAAAAGTTCGTGTTGAAGCCTCTGTCTCCAAGCGAAGTATATGGAGATCAACTCCAAATGCAGCAAAGTCGAGAGCAAGAAAAGGCAAGTAATGCCTCGGCCAAGAAAGGAGAAGAAGGAGCTGGAATTGTGGATTCGAAGGCAGTGATGCTAGTGGAGATTTGAAGCAAGCTGCCTATGCATGAGAACTTTTGATTGTACTCATGTACAGGGGCGTGCTACTCAATCAAGAGCTATTCCAAGAAGTTCCAGCCAAAGCAAGAGTGGTGTTGGAAGAGTTTGAGGATGTGTTTCCAAAGGAAGCACCGAAGGGGCTGCCTCCTATTCGCGGAATTGAGCACCAGATTGATTTCTCGTCGGGAGCTCAAATTCCAAACAAGGCAGCATATCGAGCTAATCCAGAAGAGACCAAAGAGCTGCAAAGGAAGATTGACGAGCTCATGGAGAAGGGGCATGTTCGAGAAAGTATGAGCCCGTGTGCAGTTCCGGTGATTCTCGTGCCGAAGAAGGATCACACCTAGCGGATGTGTGTAGACTGCCGAGCCATTAACTAGATCATAGTTAAGTATCGTCATCCAATTCCATGATTAGATGATATGCTTGATGAATTGTATGGCTCTATAGTGTTTTCCAAGATTTATTTGAGATCAGGTTATCACCAAATTCGTATAAAGGAGGGAGACGAGTGGAAGAATGCTTTTAAGACCAAGCATGGTCTATACGAATGGATGGTGATGCCCTTTGGTTTGACCAATGATCCTAGCACGTTCATGAGGTTGATGAACCACGTTTTGAGGCCATTAATTGGGAGGTTCGTGGTCATCTACTTCGACGACATTCTGATTTACTCGAAGTGCATGGAGGATTATCGCAATCATCTGCGAGAGGTGGTGGCGATGCCGAGGAAAGACAATTTGTATGCTAACCTCAAGAAGTGCTCGTTTTGCACTTCTACTGCTATTTTCCTTGATTTTGTGGTGAGTGCAGATGGAGTCAAGGTGGACGAAGAGAAGGTGAAGGCAATTCGTGATTGGCCTACCTCAACCAACGTGAATCAGGTGCGGAGTTTTCATGGGCTTGCTGGATTCTATCGATGATTTGTGCTCAATTTCAGCACCGTGGTCGCACCATTGATTGCCATCATCAAGAAGAACGTGACGTTCTATTAGGGAGAGGAGTAGGCCAGAGCATTCGAGTTGCTCAAGCACAAGCTCATGCATGCACCTATTCTGATGTTGCCTGATTTCACGAAGACATTCGAGGTGGAATGCGATGCTTCTGGTTTGGGAATTGGAGCGGTGTTGATGCAGGAGAATAAGTCGATTGCTTACTTCAGCGAGAAGTTGAGTGGGGCTGCCCTTAACTATCCGACGTATGACAAGAAGCTTTATGCTCTAGTTTGAGCCTTAGAGACGTGGCGACACTATATTTGGCAGAAGGAGTTCGTGATTCACACTGATCACGATTCGTTGAAGTATTTTAAGGCTAAACACAAGCTAAACAAGAGACGTGCTCGATGGGTTGAGTTTATTGAATCCTTTCCGTACATGATCAAGTACAAGTAGGGCAAGGAGAACGTAGTTGCTAATGCCCTATCTCGTAGGCATTCGTTGATCACGATGATGGGGGTGAAGTATTTGGGTTTTGAGCATATCAAGGAGTACTATGCCGATGATGCTGACTTTGGGGAGACCTATAGAGCTTGTGAGCAACATGGTGATGGGAAGTTCTATCAAAGTGATGGTTACTTGTTTTGCCGCTGACAAGGAAGGGACGAGATGTGATTTTCATGGTGGTGGATCGATTCTCGAAGATGGCACACTCTATCCCCTGTCATAAGACTGATGTTGCTATTAACATGACTGGTTTGTTTTTGAGGAAAGTGGTGCGATTGCATGGGATGCCACGTTCCATAGTATCTGATCTAGATACTAAGTTCATGAGCTTCTTCTAGAAGACATTGTGGAGAAAACTGGGGACGAAGCTGCTGTTCTCTACCACATGTCATACTCAAATCGATGGGCAAACAGAGGTGGTCAATCGAACTCTGTCCCAGATGTTGTGAGCTATGATCAGGAGCAACATCAAGGTTTGGGAGGACTGCCTTCCCCACGTTGAGTTTGCTTACAACAGGATGGTGCACTCGACGACGAAGTTCACTGCGTTTGAGCTCGTGTATGGTTTCAATCCTCTCACTACTTTGGATTTGATGCCATTACCTTTGAAGGAGCAGGTCAATCTCGATGGAGCAAAGATGGTAGTGTTCGTGAAAAGCCTACATAAGAAGGCGAGATTGAACATAGAGAGGAGAACTGAGCAGATCATGCGAAATGTGAATAGGCACAGAAAACCGAGGCTCTTTGAAGTTGACTGGGTGTGGGTGCACTTGAGGAAATAGAGGTTTCCCCAGCGAAGGAAAGAGTTGGCGATTTGCTGCCTCGTTGTGATTGTCCTTTCCAGGTGGTTTCAAAGGTGGGGAACAATGCCTACAAGGTCGATTTTCTGGGAGAGTATGGAGTAAGTGCAACGTTTAATGTTTCTGACCTTGCACCTTATTTGGATGGCAATTCAAATTTGAGGGAAAATCCTTTTGAAGAAGGAGGGGTTGATGAGGAAATCAATCGGTTAGTCACATGTGCAAAGGCAAGAACGTTGAAAGAGAAGCTTGCAACGTATTTGGAGAGCTACTTTGGAGCCATGGACGTGGAGCTGTTTCGAGAGAAGCCATATATGATGATTACAATGGAGGAAGAAGGAGGAAGTGCTGGAGAGAAGGCAGATTGCAAGAAGCAGCCTTAACGGGTTTGCTTAACGAGTCTAGGCTTAACTGGGTTGTATAACAAGTTTGCTGGGATGTTTCGGGTTTCCTTGTTTTTAAAGTCGGTTTATGATTGTTTTTCCATGTTGGAGTCGGATTTGGGCTGTACTTTGCCTATTTAAAGAGGCCGAACCATCTGTTTAAGGGGTATACAATTTTTATAATAAACCCGAAAGGCTATTGCCGTGTTCCTTTGAGGAATCATGTTCTACTTCTCTGTTGAGTATATCCAGAGGCTAGAGCAAACTATTATCAGCTAGGTATTCACCCTGGTTGTGGCGAGCTACCCTTATATTGATTGCCTCTTTTCACGAGTGAATCTTGTCCGGTTGATTCCATCTTTATCCTGGTTTGGTTCGATTAGCTTAGAGCTGTGCAACTTTGATTATATAAGAGAGAGATCTATGAGGCGAGTCTAATTGCAATTTGCATCACGATGGAGAGCCAACCGAGAGTGATAAATTTGGGTTCTTGGGTCATTTTTAGAGAGAGAAACACTGGAGAGAGCTTGGGAGAAGATCAAACCATCCAAGGATCAAAGTGAAGGTAAAAATCAAGAAGAGGAAGATGATTTCCAACAGTACTTCTCCTCTTCTTAGTTTGTATTTTCTCTCTTTCTCTATGACTTGAATCGCTAAGATGGTTTAGGGAAGATGGATTTTAGTTTATAGATTGTTTATATGGTCATGAGTAATAATGATTATGAGCCTATAAATTATAATATATGTCTAATTGATGTTTGTGCATGAGAATCTTAAACTTCATTGTGATTAATTTTATCTTGACCTAGAGAGATAAAATTAGCTAGGTTGGGTTAGTTATACCCCTAACCCTTCTATAAAATTCAAACACGTACACGTCCATTAATTGAAAGAAAACATCCATATAACCTAGACTATTCAATTTTGTTGAAGTGCTTTAATTAAAAAAACTATAAATATATAGTAGTATTGATTTTTAGACAACCATAATATTTTCTTTTTATTGTAAGTGATTACTATTCTAAGAGATCTCGACAAAACTGATATCAACATTTATTAAAAATAATCTATTTCACAATTAAAAGGATAGCCAGAACCTGCTAACTTCAACATATTAATGACCATCAATCTCTAAAAAAAGGTAGTGCATTGTTTCTAGTAACCCACACATACAATAGCACTAGAACAATGTGTTAAAATGAAGGTGAATACTTTTATTAATGAAGACATATAAAGATAAAACAAGCAAAATGTATAGATCAAACTAAAAAAATTATTATGCAACAATCTGCTTATATTCCTTATGCATGCAGGATTGTAATCCGGATAGTTGTAGTAATTTAGGAATGAGTTGCAGGAGGAGTGGACTTATGATGTTGAGGAGGAGGAGGAGCTGTTGTCATCGCACAGGTGAAGTAGCACCAATCTATGCATGGGCCATCGTCATTACACCCGTCAGTACATTTGATCCAACAGTCATGGAAGGACACAGCCGCTGTTGCTTCTTCCCACGACCCAAACATTATCATCATCATAATCACAACACTTAGCATCACATTCTTCTTTCCCACCATCTTGTTGATTTCCCTTTGTCGAATTATACGACTCTATTTGCTTGTCGAAATAGAAAGGAACAACTCGTTGCATGTGATTGTTTCCAAAAACAAACATAGCTACACAAAGTTATATATTGTCCCGACTTTCTTTTGAAAACCTATACCATTTACTAGAACATTAATGTTGGACCTTAACGTAAATCTATAAATTAATAAAACAAAATAAAATTTAATTTCTTTAAGATATTAAAACCACCATATTAATGATGTACATAAAATTGTAATTTTAAACCGAGAGTTATATGAATAAGCTACAAATTTTATTTCCGTTGTTAAAAAAGGCCACGTTTTCAAGAAGCAAATATAGACCAGAATTTTATTGGGTGTGGATCGGTTGAGTCGATTATGGTCACGGTGGATATGTTGAGTGCAACTGGCAATGCACTGATGTATACTTTACGTAACTGCGATTTAAACAAAAATACACTAAAACCTAATAATATTCAGACAGTCCTTTTAGACCTGGAAATTGGGTTGAGTAGGGTAATTTTGGATTGGGATTCTCAAGTTACGGGTCGTCACGGGCCGGGTTATGTTGGAAAGGGGTGTGAAACGGTCCAGACCAGACCCTATATACGGTTTACAGTCCAGAACGATTGACGAAAACATAACGTTTAACACAACCTATTTCAAAATTTTGTTTGGGTAACTTTTTAGATCAATGATGCTCTGTTTTGTTAGAATTTCTCCGAGAAAGTGGGTCTTGATGGAGGTCGCACCAATTCTCCACATCCTTACAGCACCACACTAGTAGTAGTCGGGCTCACGGTCTGTACTGTTAATCCCGGTCTAGACAAGACCAAACTTTCCCAGACCACAAGCTAAAGGGATAGACCACCGACCATACCAAATTGTGCTCCTGGACTCATGGTCTAGACCAAACCTTACGGTACAGTATAAACCGCGATTTGTCATACGTTTTGGTCCAGATTTTCAGTGGAAGGTTGGGTTGGCTGATTTTGGATAACATATTAACCCATCCCATCATGTTTCGGATAGGATTTTGGATCATTTTGGGTATAAGAATTCTCATAAATAATATCAAACATGCTTCATAAATTACTTTAAGAATACAAATTTACACATATGTATGACAATAGTTTACCAAGCACATTACTCTATTTTCTAAATTTGCTACAAGTTTTTATTTAATTTTAACTATATTTCTAAATTCGCACAAGAGAAGTTGCACCAATCGATACATGTGGCATCGTCATACACCCGTCAGTACATTTTATCCAACAGTAATTAAAGGACATAACCGTTTTTGCTTCTTCCCACGACCTAACCATTATCATCATCATAATCACAACACTTAGCATCACATTCTTCTTTCCCATTAAAAAAAAACATTCTTCTTTCCCACCATCTTGTTGGTTTCCTCTTTTTTAATTATATGATTCTATTAATTAGTGGTGTGGTGCATGTGGTGTATTTTTGGTTTGTGTTTTGTGATATGCTTTAAGATACTTACGGTGAGGTAAAATTAATGTCAAACACCACACGCGTGTGCACTCCTTAATTTTGTCATTATATGACTTAATGTGACAAACATTTATGTCAAAATCGAAGTTTGTCACAATAGACATTATAATTCTGACAAACTTGAGATTTGTCAAATTAGATATTTATTATGACAAAGTTAGAGTGACAAAAACTATTTTGTCTACAAAATCTAAAAACTACCATATGTTTTTAATATATAATGACAAATGTGCCCTATCCTCTTATAAATTCGCATTAATTGGGGTGAACACCTTGACATCAAAAAGTCATCAAACGAAATAATTTGTTTGCTGAAATTAGGGTTAATATCATACTAACAAATTAGGGAATTTTTTAGTACTTTGCACATGAATCTACAGTATAATTGAGTTTAACTAGAGTGCTTACTGTTTCTAATTAGGATTTAGATGTGTGAATGCTTGTTACCTTGATTGTTTGACCTAGAGATCTAGTTAGAGGTAGAGGTGACCATCGCCTTCTAGTTAGATTCTCACCTAGTTTATGCTTGGTGATCAGTAAGTGCCTGACCATCGACTTACACCACTCTTAAAAGGTACTTTGTGGTAGATCACTAACACGGGAAGTCTCGTTAGGTTAATAGTACTTGTCCCCCATAATCAACCCTTGATGCACCATCCTAGTTTTCATAAACATTATCGGTGCAACCATGAGACCATATTTAAGATATTTAGTCAGTCCATTAAAATATTCAGCCAAAGTTGTTCCCGTTTTAGGAAGGAGATAATACAACATTATATACAAACCATATATTATCTCTAGGAACTCGCTTATTAGTTATAACCTTGTTGATTTGCTTTACTGGATTACTACATTGGAACCCAAGAGCGCAGGCTGGCCGGATTTGCAGTTGCGGTTTTGACTTTGCTTTTGTTCTTTACTCGGATGTAAATTTTGGTATTCTCTCTAAGAAGGAACAATGTGTATTGTTTTAGAAAGTAAAATATGCTAGCAGGTGAGTAAGTTGTAAACACCAGCTATTGTTAGAATGGTGAAAATCTGATGCGTAGTTTTATGAGATTGCATTAGTGAAATAAAATTGCTTTGGATTACTTCGATCACAAGGAAGGGTTGATAACGTGACATTAATAATAAGAGCACAATCGAACTTTAGAAGATTTTTCGACGAAGACGAGTAATTCTATCAGACAAGATTTACTGCTTTTGAGTGCTATTGTGATTCATTTGTATACTGTTTTTGTACATACAAACATTATGAAGAAGAAATAACCATTGCAGGGAAGCAACAATTAGAAAGTGCTCACATAAAAATATCATACATTTGCACTTTGTGATGATATCTTTTTTTTTTCCCCAGCAGTTTCTACTAATTCGACGTTGTAAAGGAAGAAATAGTAACGCAGTCAGTAAAGTCATACCACTCACTTTCACCAACAATGTATGTATTGTGTAGATACTTATTATTAACTATTTAATTGTGACGTAGCAGAATTTTTATATGCAATTAACAAAAGTTAGAATTACATGTTGGGCTTCTCTGGTGTTTCCAACATCTAGATCCTGAACACATAATTGTCACTCATAATTAACAATAACACACACTTAATTAGCAATTAGGCAGCTGGTGGTCAAGGGTCACGGAGGAACCTCCGGAAGAGATCCATAGCGCGCACCGGCTGGTAGCTGCCCGAATGGCCGCCGGAGCCGCGGACGGTGGAGAAGGTAACGTTGTTTTTCCTCCCTAGATACACCGACGTGTACCCACCCACCTCCCCGTTGCTGTCCTTCCACGGCCCGAACACCGCCGGCTCTGTGAGATTAAACACTCTGCCGAGGCCGTACCTGGTGGCCGTCACCGGAGGCCTGGCGTTTTCATCGCCATGGTAAATTGCAATCTTCAATTTCTCTCCGGTTTATGCCAGCTCCCTCATGGTGTCGGTGATCCAGTTGGGCTTATCCGATCCCGGTGGAAGCTGCCCTTGCCTCAAATTTTTGCTACAAAAGGACATAATTAAATTGATATATCAGTTAACTGATTTCCGGCGAGGCAATTAATGTCTAACAAAGCTGTACGTAGTTGATAAATCCGAAATAACCTGCAAATCTTCCACGGTCCCGGGACACGGTGTGAATGGTTTGCGTGGAGAGCAGTCTGAACAGTTGGCAGGTTCAAGTACTCGTGGAGGTAGTTGACCGAGCATGGGTCGAACCAGAGGAATTTCTGCATGTTTTGAATTAAACCAATCAATAATAATTATTATTATGTGAAAGAAAGATTATAAATATGCACATGCTTGCTTACGGAGGTTGGGTGAGTGCTCGGTGAACAAAGTGGCTCGATGATGGCTGACACTTCCATGCCGAGGGCGATCGCCTCCAGGTGCATTGCCATCCCACAGTCTGCCGTGGAGTTGAGGATGCAAGTCGTCAACACCTTCTGCCGGCTAGCCTGGCTCATCATGCCCTTTGCACTGAGGTAATCCACGAATCCTAAGAAAGTGGACTCTAGATCCATCTCTGGATCACCAAGCTGAATAACAAAATTACATATATTATGCATCCTTAAATAAATATGAGGCAACGTCAATATATAAAACGGTTTTCCTAGCGGGCAAATGATGACCAGACTTCAGATAGGTTTACGACCAAATTTTGACATTTAGCCACCATTATTGCTTCTCGTTACAAATTTCAATTTCTGTTGTAGTGAGTTAACTTAGTATTTTTCGTAATCCCCAAAATTTATTATGAAACGTAATTACTCTTTCATGCAACGTTTCTAATTGGATAAATTTCATTGTGGTATGTAATAATATCACTGGCATCATTATTATAGTATAAATGGTTGAACTTAACTTCTAAAAAAAAAACTCAAATTGATCAAACTTTCTAGATCATAATAAATCTATGTTTTTATGCAACTTCTCTTTCTAAATTCAAATCGAAATAAAATAAATGCAAGTTGATTACAAAAAACAGTATTGAAATAGCTCATTTAGAGAAATATTTAAAGAAACACGATTTCAAGCAATACCAGTATGCCTCGGAGTTGCATCCCCGGTGGAAGCAACGCCTTGTCTCGCATGCTTTGCGCAGCCAGGCGGACGGGGTGATGTGCCCCGTGGCCTTCTCCTCCAAGGTACAGTTCTGCTTCGCGGTGTTGCGGGAACTTCTCCGCCCACCGGTGGAGGAAATCGACGGCATCTTTTGATGTCTGCTCGTCTGATATTACCTCTGCTGTTATGCGCTCGGAGTAGGACAAGCCGACACCGGCCGGCAGGTCCACGAACAGGAGATTCGCTTCTGCAAACAAGTTATAACCGACTCAAATGTCAATAAATCATAAGGAAGCAAGAATTCAATATTAATTAAGTTGTGAGCTAACATCGTAGTTACCTTTATGCCACGAGTTGTCGTTCAGCACGAGCGTCATGTCGGACTGGACCCGTAACGGGCCCACTTCCAACATCCCGCCGTAACCAATTGGCGAGCAAAATCGTTCTTCGACAGCATAACGACAAACAACATTATTATTAGTAACTAAAAATTAGGGGTCGTTTGGTTTTGGTGATACTTAAATCAATGCATTGTAATGAATGCATGCATTGTAATATACATACAATTAATGAAAATGATATAATTTACTTTGCATTGTTTGGTTTTGGTGATAGTTCTTTTAGTATTCAACAAGTTATATTGGTTTTTTTTGTTGGAAAAATAACTATTGTCCTTGCTTTTATTAGAACATATAGATATAGCTAGAGGTATAATTGGAACAAAAAAGGAACTCAACAATCTTCTCAAAACTATCTCAACAATCTCATGTTTTAGTAGAGATATTACTATCACTCATTTTGAATGATAATTTTCATCACATCAAACAAACAATGCATGTATCGTTTGTGTATAAAGTTAAAAAAAAAACAATGTATGCATTGTAACTATCCAACAACACCAAACGACCTCAGTCCTCAATTTAATATTGCTACTGTTATAATAATAACTCACCTGAACCGAACCAGATAACCAGCGGCGCTTCTGCGGCGGGCTGGGAGGAATTATCGGACTGGACAAAGTGGTAGAAGACATGGCGGGCCGGCATCTTCGTCCCTGCTGCCGGTAGTTCCACGTAGCCACTGAAGTGGCTGAACGGGAGCTCACCGGCAGCCGGCTGGCCAGGCAGCGTTCCAACCCTGTCCCTCTCCCCCGGCGCAGCTCCTCCTCCATAGATGCTCATCAGGATCAAAATAACCACCGCAGTCGAGAACGCCGGCATTTCGCTCATCAGGTACAAATCCATTATGAAAATTTAAGGCTGCGATGTCGATCATCAGGTCCAAACCTTAAGGTATTTATAGCTAACTATTCAACAGGCTTACCTCCAAACCTTGCATGTGGTGTCACCTAACCAGGCGTACAAATCGTTGGACATAACCGTGAAGTTGAATGATTGTTTATATACATATTAGAGTTATTAAACCCATTGGACCATTAAGTTAGATCGGACACAATCAACCTATTTGGATCACACCCGATTTCAGTCGTTCACCATCAAAACTTGTCGAATTGGACGATCGGTTTGCATCCCAATATCTTCTATTTAATAGTAACTAGAAATGACCCGCTCGCTACGCTTCGCACTTGAGTATATCATTTTAGCTCAAAATGAGCACATAATTACTATAAATGAAGACGATAATAGTGCGCTACTCAACATTGTGTACTAATAGTAGATATGAACAATCCATCTAAATATTGCGGGGTATATATGTTTCTGGTCTGGGTGATGCCTTGCAGTAGTGTCTTCATACACATACAGTAAACACAAAATCACGTCAATATACATGAATTCAGTTTTAACCAACCTTCAAAAAAGCTGAACAAAACATATTGCACATTATATGCATCCACATCACAAAACAACGCAACATATTTCAGACCGGCACCTCTATTTAAGATCACAATCAAATTGAATAGCAGCTGAAGACCAAAAAAAAACCCGTAAAGTGTTTGAAAAAGTGTGGCAACAAATAATTCAGAAAAGACAACCTGTTAACTTATATTTGAGATTTATAAAACATAAACCATGGTCAAGAGAACTCTTCATTTGGGATCAGTCGCTATGAATAGTTCTCTCTCTAATATTAATAAGTTACAGTTCATCGCTATCACTACCTTCCGGGCCAACAGAATCAAACTAAGTAAAACCAATAAATGCTTCCCCAACAATGTTTAACATCACACCAACAGACCCACAGCTATAGGCAGGAGCATAACGTGAAAACCCCCTAAAGAACAGAGTAGTAGATAAAGTACACTCGCTAGAAGTAGGGAAATTAATAAAACACTACATCTACGTTCCAGGCCAATTGATTCTTAATGTAACAATGAGTTTGAAAAACAATAAACATGAGTTTAAACAAAGGAAAATGGGAGAATATCTAAACAGAAGATGTTAGGATACCTTAAGATGACCCAGCTTAGAACGTAAAAGTCAGTGTAACCGAAAAAGCAAGACTCGAGCACATGAATATAAGAGCAGAAGTTGATGAACCGGAAAGTTGATTCCTCGAAAGAACTCTGGATGTATTGCAGTCCATGTGGCTATAATGAAAAACCAAGAGAATATAAGGTCCATGATCAAAGACGGAAGTATACAAATTAAGGGAAAGAATCAAAGTAACAATATCTTACCTGAAGTCTTCGACGACAAACCAAACAACAAATTCGAGGAACAACCCCAAGCCATATCAATAGACAAAACTGAACATGTAGTAATGAATTCAACTTATAAAGTCAGTTACCTGGGATTGAGAGGGACTGGAAGCAAGGGATCGGGATTCTAAATCTCAGATTTCGCCTAGACCCGAGAAAGGGATGCAATACCTGAGATTGGATTACTGTTCATTAGTTTGGGACTGACTGAAGATGCAGAGCATAAAATTGGAATAAAATCAACGCACATACATAACAGAGGCCAGCTTTCTTTAAAAACCACGCCTACTTCGGAAATTTGATAACAAATGGTACAGGTAGGAGACCACAAAGTGCATCAGCTGTGTTCATAACAAAATAGTTGAATCGACACAAAGGGAACTTTGAGCTCAAGTGGTGCACTTAACCTGAAAACATAACAATCGAATCAAGGTTTCATCAGGCTATTTGGGTTACTTTGATGCCAAATTTCTATTGCTAAATCAACATCAACCTTTCTCCGAAGCTAATGATGGGAAGTTCTTGATGTAGGTTACAAATGGCATGAATCTTTTACCTGCAAAAATTCAAGTTCTTTTAAGATGAATGAACCAAACATAGATCAGTATGGAGAGAACTAACAACAACCACCAAGGTCCCAAAATTTGTTTTTATCTCTCAACAACAACCTCACCAACTATGACAACAAACATAAATAAACAAAAGAGAGGAGAATGAATCAGATATCTGCAGCAAAATCATATTTGTTGTTTCTGCCACATATTTGGTGATAGAGTCGACACCCAAACAATGGATTCAGACTCCAAATTCCTCTATTTAAAGTCGAGGGTAATCTCCACGCAGCTTTATCCCATGTTTCTTGCTAATGTGCAGAGTGACACTGTCTTTTGAAGAGGCAACACAACTAATACACCGTTCAATTACTCAATGATGAGAAAACGACATTTTGATTTAACAAAACACTAATGTTTCTTGCGTGGTAGTATTGGAGTGAGCTCAATACCCATAAATGAAGACCCAGTGATCCATTCCCAATAGAAACCACATGAACACATACTGCTTGATTTCTAGTTCTGTACAACCACTGGGAGCACTAACCATTTTGTCGCATCGGAGATGCAATAGCAGAAGGTCTTGTGAGGATGCGAGGGAGCCTGCAAGGCCCAGATGTGCAGCAAGTGAAGCTTGAGCTGAATCGGGCAGTCAATTCCTGTGAGATCCAAGATCAGTTTACAAATTATCAATCAGGAAATTAGACACCTTTCCTCAGATCCTATACGAACTCAGAAGCCAAAAACCCAAATTGAATTGATCCATCATCAGGGCTTCTCCAATATTTCAAGGTCGAAAATCTATGAACCCAAAAATGAGAGAGAATTGAAACTGCAGAGGATGGACAAAAGCTATCTGCTGTTGAAAAGCCTGCGAGCAAAATTGCCAACGCCGACTGTGGATAATTAGCAACAGAGAGGAAGAACATCTAGTTGAAAGAGGCAAATTAAGTAAAGAAACAATAAAAGTAAGATTAAGGGAGGAAAGGAGAAAGCTCACCCCCTATGGCCGAATATGACACTGGAATGCGATTCAAAGGATTTGTTCTTCTTCTACTGTCATAGGCACAGGATACAGCATGATTATGAGTGAAAGAATAACTCATTTTCACTTGGCTGGTCGTAGTCCGTTTCAAATAGAATCAACTGCATCTTCCATCCATTGCCTCCATGATTCTACTGTGCTGCACAGAATTAATCAATGAGATAAGTTGCGGGATTAGGGATTCTAGAAAAGGAGCGAGGATGGGGAACCAATAATCCTTCCTTCTCTGAGTCTAGAATTCACCACGATATAACCCATCTTTAAAATGGGTACTGACTTCCAAGCTTCTTTGTTGAACTCTAACTCTCCCATCCCCACTTTTGCTGAACTTTGGTCGTTTCCTCCGTAACCTACCAAATCCTCAGGCCAGAACTCTTCCCTCACTTTGCCACATCCGAACCGAACACTGGCAAACAGTACGCAACGCAGACCCTGGCCATCGAGGACATGCTCCTCTCAAATTGATGAAAGTTCAAAATTCTTTGTCATTCAACCGAGAAGGGCTGGGTTTCTTGGTACTGAGGCAGAAAAGGCTGTTTTAGAAAGATAGAATCGATTTAGAAGCATTTCCTCTTCATCTTCTTCCCCTTGTCCAACGATTCTCCTCTTCTTCTTCAACGGCAGCAGAGAGGCAGAGATTCAAACCTAGAATTCCGCCAAAAGGGGATTCGAGAACTGAGATCCCCGTCGTCTCTTTGTCGGTTTCTGCTACTTCAATGGTGGTGATGGTTTCAACGAAGAAGATGAACACAGATGGGTGAGAAAAGTTAAATCGACCTAGAAGCATCTCCACTTTATGTTCTTCCTCTGCAGCAACAATCCCCCTTTTCTTCTTCTTCTTCTTCACCAAAGGAGAGAGAGAGATCGGGACCTGGGATTCTTCCGAAAAGGGTTCGTGCAACAAAGACGATCTTGTAAGAACCAGGAGACGGAGATGGTATGCAAATAACTGAGAACTCAGGAACCCGACAACAATCAATTGTAAGAAGAAAGTTGTTTTTATTACAACTCATAGCCTGCAAGCAAAGCCATACCTGTTTTGCCCACTTTTTCTTCCTCTACTCCAACGATTCCCTTCTTCTTCTTCTTCTTCTTCTTCTTCTTCTTCTTCTTCTTCTTCGTTAACAGCGAGAGAGAGGGAGGGATTGGGACCTGGGTTTTCGGCAAGAAAGGTATGGAAGACCTGAGTTTCTAGGGTGGAATGCAGATATGAGTTTCGGAATGGGATTGAAGCAAGAAAAGGCAAGGAGAAGTGGTACCTGAGTTTAAGTCGGCAACCCTCTGAGTTGGGATTCCGCCGGCGAGTTTCGAAGGAGTGATGTTCTCTGGACCTTTCACTGCCACGCCGATCAAGCCTGTGAAATACTCAATTATTTTTTTGTCGGTGAGTTTGGAAGGAGGGATGGTCTTCCCGCCGATTAAGCCGGAGAGCTTCAGAGGTGGGATTCAGCCACCGAGTGGAGAAGAGGAGGTAGCGCCTGAGATTAAGAGTGGAAGAGAGGAGGTGGCTATTAAAAGAAGATATCGTTTCTGTTGTGAGGAGAGGGCAAAGAGAGAAGCTTTGGCTGTGAAAAGAAGGTGAGAGTGCGTGTGGGTGTGGAAGGAGATGGTGAAAGTTTGTCTCTGTTGCTGAAAAACTGAAAAGTAACATGGAAAAGTGGCAGGAGGAAGGAAAAACCCACGCAAACCCATTGGATAATAAATGGATCCAGGGGTTCTGAGTTGGCGAGTGGGGTAAGAGAACCATCCACCAATTTTGAGGGTCTTGGGAGGCGGGAATGGTGACTGACAGAGAGGAAACACTTGGACGAATCTCACTCGCGGCAAAGAAGTTGAGGGCCACTAATGAACAGTACCCAAACTGTGGCTTTTATATACCAACAATAATAGAATTTTCTTCCTAGAATTCAATCTAATCCATCCATCAAAATATATTATTAATCCAAACCATTTGATTCATATGTAAGTAAATTATTGATTAATCCAATCACACTAGCTTGTTTATACATTTCATCCAACATTTAATAGAAGGACATGGGCGGTTGCTTGTTTCCACAAATCAATCATCATCAACATCATAAACACACCACTTACCATCAAATTCTTCTTTCCCATCATCATCGTGTTAAGTTTTTGGTAACGCTGTAATATGAAAAAGACTCCCTTTGGGTTGCCTCAGCATAAATAATCAAGCTCGATCACCAACTTATCTATTCGCCTAAGTTTTCGTTGAAAACCCTATAAGTCACCTAATAAAACCATTAATGTTACATTTGATGGGTTTTCCGGAAACAAACATGCCTACACCAACTTATCTATTCGCCTAACTTTTCGTTGAAAACCCTATTAAGTCACCTAATAAAACCATTAATGTGTCATTTGATGGGTTTTTCGGAAACGAACATGCCTACACCAACTTATCTATTCGCCTAACTTGTCGCTGAAAACCCTATAAGTCATCTAATGAAACCATTATGTTACATTTGATGGGTTTTCCGGAAACAAATACACCTAAACCAACTTATGTATTCGCCTAACTTGTAGTTGAAAACCCTATAAGTCATCTATGAAAAACCATTAATGTTTTCCTTAACGTACGTAAAGTCATACTGGCAGAAAATTAAGGTTCAATCTAATTTGAAGATTTAAAAACCGCCTAGAGAACAAAAATCACCTTCCTAGAAATTAACAAATTGTCATTTGTGGGTAATACTGAGTTAGAAGTTATATTTTCGTTGCACCCATTACCATGCATGCATTATGCTAGTTTTCTGACTGAACTTCTTTATTACTGAACAGAAGTAAGAAAACGTACATAATCTAGATAGAGAAGCTGAATTTATACTCTGGTTTACAAAGATATCGAAGAAAGGAAAATCTGTTATGAACCTATTAGCATGGCTAAATTACATTTAGTACCTATTCTATCCTAATCACATTTAATCTATACTAAACTAATTCTATACTATTCGTTATTTAAAGAATGATCCTATGTCTCCTAATACCCCCGCAAGCTAAACATGGATTGACTTCAGGTTAAGCTTGGAGATGAGATCGTCGAATGTATGAATTGAGAGAGCCTTGGTGAAAGGATATGAGAGTTGCAACGTTGTTAATATGTGTTGGACCTTCAATTTTCTAGCGAGGACTGTACATGGGTGCATGGTCGTGTTTGGGCCGGCACGGCACGGGCACGCTTCGGATCCATTTATTTTAGGTCTTGCTTGGCACAACCCATCAGTTTTCGTGTCGTGCCGTGCATGCCCATTTGTTAACTTTGCTAAGCCCGACCCAGGCCCGGGCATGGTTCGAATCGTGTCGTGCCTATTCGTGCTCGTGCCCTACTCGAATTCGTGTTTAATGAAAAGAAAGAAAATAAAAGAGAAAATAAAAGAGAAGGTGAAAATTGGATGGAGAAAGATAGTATTAAGCAAGAATGTTTAAGAAAAGTAACAAATAAGGGGAAAGAGGGAATTGAAAGTATAGCGGATGTTATTTGGCTTTTTTTAATTCTTCGTTCGTTTTTACTTATGCTAGTAATAACATATATAGCTTTATGACACTTCTAACAACCACAAATAATTATTTTTCTACATGTATTTTGTATTAATTTGAACCTATAATTCTTTCTATTTTTATTCTCTATCAATTAAATATTATTTTTGCGCCATGTCCGTTCTTATACTCAATAAAGTCTCGAAAACATTAGGCCTGGCACGACCCACTTATATACCGTGCTCGTGCCCGTGCTCGTGCCCATGCTTGTGCCGTTTTCATGAAGTTTAGGCCCGACACGACCCATAAATTACTCGTGATCGTGTCAGGCAGGCCCATTTATTTCGTGCCCGTACTCGTGCCGTGCTTGCCCGTGGGTAGCCCGGCTCGGTGCTTACGTACAACGAGGACTTGATCTCGAGTGAAGCGAAAATCAACTTCTATGTGCTTAGTTCTTTCGTGCTGTATAGGATTCTCAGTCATTTTGATAGCAGAAAGATTATCACAGCAGATCATGTAGGGATGAGGAGTCTGAATTTGAAGTTGTTTGAATAAAGTCGTCATTCATTGCGATTCCTGAGACGTGTCTGCCAAGGCTCTACAATATGCTTCAGCTCACAATCTGGAGATTGTTTGTTGCTTTTTGGACCTCCAGCTATTCAACGAGTTACCTAAAAACACACAGAACCCGGTTACAGATCGATGAGTATCAGGGCATCCAGCCCAATCTGAATCTGAAAAAGCTATAAGACGAGTAGAAGAATTGCAAGAGAAGAACAATCATCGAGCAGGAGTGATTTTTAAAAATCTGAGGAGCCTATGTGTTGCTTGTTCATGGACTGAAGTATGGGCATCCACGACTGACTTAACTGATTTACAATATAACAGATGTTAAGTCGTGTGTTGCATAAGTACTGTAATCGACCTATCAATGTCTTCTAACTATTATGATCACCGTCATTGAGGCGAGTGCCTTCGTGGTCAGAGAGATGAGTAGTAGGAATTGACGGAGTGGTAGTTGGTTTGGAGGCCAGAAAACCTGTATAAGATAGGAGACCAAGTGAAATTATTTGAGTTTTCCAAGCTCTTTAATTGTGAAAGCAAAGTCTAATTGTTGTTTAACATGCTTTATTTCATCCATGTTGTTTCCTGTAAGAATGATGTCATTAAAGTAAACTAATAAGGCTGTAAATGATGTACCAGAATACTTAGTGAATAAGGAGTAATCACTGTGAGATTTGTGATAGCCAAGTGTTTCTAAAGTGGTAGCTAACTTAGCAAACCATTGTCGACTTGCTTGTTTCAGGCCATATAATGATTTGGTAAGTTTACAAACTTTGTTTTTGTCTGAAGGGTGAACTGGTAACCCAGGGGGTAGCTTCATGTAGACATCTTCATTGAGGTCTCCATGAAGAAATGGTGTGTTAACATCTAGATGTCCAAGATGCCAGTTGTACGATGCTAATGCTAAAAGAATTCGAACTGTGGTCATTTCGACAAGTGGAGAGAAAGTGTTCAGGTAGTCAACTCCAATAGTCTGAGTGTAGCCTTTGGCTACTAACATGCTACGACACAACACCAAACTACGACCAAGTGTAATCGCAGAATGGAAATGCAGTATAATGGAATCAAGTAATAAATGCCAACCCAGGTCCTAGATGTACTGCCTAGCTACTTAGTTTTCTAAAGCAAGAGAAGGTCACTCGGGATTGAGTCCCCCTAGCTCCTTAGTTAAGTTCAAGTTGTAATTTTCTTTGGTTGATTTACTGTTGATTAAACTGCGGAAGATCCCACAGTAGCTTGGAATCTCTTAAGCTGACCAAGCCCTTTTAGACAAACTACTTGGTAGACGACTAGTCTTCATCGGGATATACTGATATAGCGTTTCACATAGAACTCCAATACTGGAAAAAAATTCCAGTACAAAGTAGCGAATTGAATGACTCTCGCACAA